AAATTGTGTTTAATCAAGAGAGACAGATTTCGGAGAAAACTTTATCTACACCCATAGTCTAAAGTCAACTCAAACTTGTCCATGTATTATCCTGATGTGGACAACCTTCGAAGTTCTGTCTGATGCCTGCCTCTTTCCAAGTCTTCTCAGATGTCCAACAGGGACTAATTACACCCGCCCCCCTCTTTGTCCAGCAGCACTCCCCCCCACCTTTGTCCACCTGCACGTCTCAAACTGTGATATGACGATGAGGCCCCCAAACCTTTTAAAATGCAAGTTCGATACCAGTAAGTTGAGAGCGAGGCTCAAGATTCTGAATCCCTAACCATCCTCCAGGTGTTGCCTACAAACTACTCTTTGCGCAGGACCATACTCCGCGTCAGTCCACAGACTCTTCTAGCAAAGGCCCTTGTGTATGGACTGTTTCCATGTCTGCACCATGGGCTATAACTTCCCAGTCTCGTTACCATCCTTTCCCCTACTTTAAAACGCAACAGAAATGAATCAAATTGAAAATACGAAGATGTATTTCTTGCTCCAAGTCCACCCTCTTTGCCCTTAAACCTGAATCAGTGCCCAAAAGGAAAACGAAGCCAGGGTGGATTTCCTGCAGGGACGGGACATTGATGGGGTTGGAAGGAACCACGCAGGACAGGCGACCTTGTCAGGGGCTCAAGAAGCACCCCCAGGCTGGCCCGCTCACTCTCTGGTGGCATTATCCTCTGGCTGGGGGGACCAGCGGCCAGCCCCTGGCTGGGGCGCACGGGCCCTGGGGCACTCACCAGGGCCTCCACCATGTTGGATTTGTTGTTGCGCAGCGTCTTCACGATGTGGAACACGTCGATGATGCTCTGCTGCTGGATCATTTCGCACACGCTGCAGAGGGCGCAGAACGTTCCACTGCGGCCGCCCCCATTCCTGAACAGGGAGCCAAGAGAGCCAGTCAGATTCCTGGGCACCTGGGTACCTACCACCCGGGCACCTCCAAGGCGTGGTCAACGCGAGTCCTCCCTACATGTTCGTGTCCGGAGTCACCATATAGACAAGACATTTGTTTTCAATGTCTCTTGGGATAGCTTCAGATGCTCCCAGGTGGGCGTCCTAAGGTCCCTGATAGACTCTGCAGCTTAGAGGAAACACTGACTTAAAGCCACGTCAGCAGTAAGTGTGTGTGTGTGTGTGTGTGTGTGTGTGTGTGTGTGTGTGTG